CTCAAGGAGACTCATCACCTTCATCATCATCAAGTGGGAGTCAAAGTGAAAGAGTTGTGCAACGCACAAGAAGCCTTAGAGATCTCTATGAGGTAACTGAACGACAAGATAATCTTACATTATTTTGTCTGTTTGCCGATTGTGAACCAGTGAGCTTTCAAGAAGCGGTACAAGAAAAGAAATGGAGAGATGCGATGGACGAAGAAATCAAGGCCATCGAGAAGAATGACACATGGAAACTTACCTCACTTCCCAAGGGACATAAGGCGATAGGTGTCAAATGGGTGTACAAAACAAAGCAAAATGCCAAAGGAGAGATTGAAAGGCACAAGGCGAGGCTAGTTGCTAAAGGCTATAGTCAAAAGGCTGGAATTGACTATGATGAGGTATTTGCTCCTGTTGCTCGATTGGAGACTATCAGACTAATCATTTCTTTGGCAGCTCAAAACAAGTGGAAGATACAACAGATGGATGTAAAGTCTGCCTTCCTAAATGGAGTTCTTGAAGAGGAACTTTACATTCAGCAACCATCAGGCTATGAAGTCAAAGGGCATGAAGACAAGGTGTTGAAGTTGAAGAAGGCTCTTTACGGGCTAAAACAAGCACCAAGGGCATGGAATAGCCGAATCGACAAGTACTTCCAAGAGAATGGCTTCAACAAATGTCCCTACGAGCATGCTCTATATATCAAGATCAAAGATGAAGATATTTTGATCGTGTGCCTCTACGTGGACGATTTGATCTTCACTGGAAGCAACCCAAGCATGTTTAATGAATTCAAGGATGTGATGATGAAAGAATTCGAGATGACAGACATGGGGCTCATGGCGTACTACCTTGGCATTGAAGTTAAGCAACAAAATGATGGAATTTTCATTTCACAGGAAAGCTATGCAAAGGAGATACTGAAGAAGTTCAAGATGGAGAACTGTAAGCTAATAAGCACACCGGCAGAATACGGGATCAAGATGACCAAACATGAAGAAGGCGAAAGTGTAGATCCAACATTCTTCAAAAGTTTGGTAGGAAGTCTACGCTATCTAACTTGCACGAGACCCGATATTCTTCACGCAGTTGGATTGGTTAGTCGTTACATGGAATCCCCAACAACCACCCATTTTAAAGCTGCAAAGAGAATTCTTCGCTATCTGAAAGGTACAATTGACTTTGGCTTGTTCTATTCAGTTTCTAATGATTACAAGCTTGTTGGATATAGCGACAGTGATTGGGGTGGAGACATAGATAATCGAAGGAGCACTACTGGATTCGTATTTTTCATGGGAGATATTGCATTCACATGGATGTCAAAGAAACAACCGATTGTCACATTATCCACTTGTGAAGCGGAATATGTTGCTGCTACCTCATGTGTTTGTCATGCAATTTGGCTTAGAAATCTATTGAAGGAGATTGGTTTGATACAAGAAGAGCCTACCAAGGTTTGTGTCGACAACAAGTCAGCCATTGCCTTAGCGAAGAATCCAGTATTCCATGATCGAAGCAAGCACATTGATATTCGCTACCACTATATAAGGGAGTGTGTTGCAAGAAAAGATGTGGAAGTTGAATATGTGAAGTCACAAGATCAAGTTGCTGATATTTTTACCAAGCCACTGACCAGCGAAGACTTCTTAAGATTAAGGAACCTACTAGGGGTCACGAGATCAAGTTTACGGGAGGGTGTTGGATCATAAACTTGATCCATTATGGGAGTCTAAACCCAAACCCAAACTAAATTGATGTCATTACTTACATCATTTAATTAAAGATGTCATTGCTTACATCATTTAATTAATGATGTCATTGCTTACATCAATTTAGTTAGGTGAGAGTTAGATATTTGTTGAATTTGTGTGGTGTAGGATTGTTCTTGAGTAGTATAAATAACCCTTCCCATTTTAGTTTTAAGCATCAAGAAAAATTAAGAGCTTCTAAGTGAGTGAAGAAGCAAAGTCTTATAAGAGTGAGTTGTAGTTCTTGTTTTTGAGTGAGAGTACTCTTGTAATATTTGTTTGAGTTTCAATAAAAGTTGTTTGTGTGAGTGTTTTATTTCCAACAGGATGTCTATTTAATGTAACATGTTGTCTGCGCACACTCTCCCCAAAATTTAACAGGAACTTCATAATGAAACCTAAGGGCACAGGCTACCTCAAGAAGATGTTTGTGTTTCCTTTCTGCCACTTCTTTCTGCTGCGAAGTGCATACATGAACTTTGATGAACAATGACAAGGGAGGAAAATAGAGGAGAACACGATGAGTTAAAAAACTCAGAACAATTATCACTCCGAATTGTTTTGACAGTTGTTGAGAAATTTGTTTTGAACATAAGAAAGAAATTCTTTAATGAAGATAATAGCATCACATTTTAGTTTTAGCAAGTACACCCAACACATACATGTATGATCATAAACTATTGTCAAAAAATACCTATGATCACTACGAGTATATGTTCTGTAAGGCCTCCATAAATCCAAGTGTATCAGTTGAAAAGGTTCATAAGACCTAGTAGTGCTAATAGGAAAAGGTTGGCAAGACTGTTTGGCTAAAGGACACACTGGACAATCATACATGTTATCATTATGCAAACTAACAGTTTTAAAAAAGGAACACGATGTAAATTGGTAACAGTTGCATGCCCAAGATGAGCATGGAAAAGCTTAGTATTATTATCAGAAGAAAAAGCTAAACAAGAGGTTGATATTGACTCAATAGGTTGATCATCGACACTAGAAACAGAAAATCCAAGTAGTACAGGTTTAACACTGAAATCTAGAGTGGATGAAGGAACTAAATTGCACTGGACAGAAGAAAACAAACTAGAATCAAAGAAGTATAATCCTTTTGAATCCTTACCAACCCCCATCGTCATTCCATTTGCGAGGTCTTGCATGCCCTGATCTTGCAATGATCACAAATACAGTGAACCGACGACGACTAATGCCACAAGAAGTACATGAATACATAGCAGTAGCTTCATCGAGAGACAAATTCCCCATATAGATGAAGCCGTTGAGATTCTTCTTGCACAATCATCGAGAACACTTGGTTGACGGAGGGAAAAGGCTGCATCAGGAGGATTTGACTCTGTATCGTCGTGTAAGTCTCATTGAGATCCATGAGGAATTGAAAAAGATTTTGCTGAGCTAGATGCTGATTATTCTGTAGGTAGACCACAGGGAGTTGATGCTTTGAGATTAAGGATTTTAGTTTATATATATATATATATATACCTATATTAAGTTTTTTTAAAATAAATTATATAGCGTGACACGTATCACTTGACAAAATTTTTTTAATAACCGTTATAGTTAGAACACTTAAAATGGTAACGTTTGTAATGTTAGGCACATGGATTGACCCAATAAAGTTCAGGCACCTAAATGAGAAAAATTGTGTAGTTTGACACTTTTATATTAAGCCTAACTAAAAGATAAGTATACAATACCAATGATCTAAACTATATTCTTTATCGATTTTAGGTGTCTAAAGTTTTTTTTGTTGCCAAAATGATGTCTAATACTTCATTGTGTAATTATTTTCAAATCATCTGTTAAAAAAATTTCCAATGAATGCTTGAATGTGTCCTCAGTTCATCTCCTTCCTTTCTTTTGCCTTTGATTTTATAGGGAAACAAACAACAAAAAAGGAAAAAAATTGTGAAAATTGATTTCATTTTCGAAAAATACAAAGCCTCAAACATTTTGATTTGGAAAATTTATCAATTCCTAATGCATCAAGTTGGATATGTGCCATTTCATCCTTATATTTTTTACGAAAATTAAAAACCCAAGTCCCAAATATTACTCCTACACACTATGGTTTCATAAACTAATCTATTCATAGGTGAAATCAAAATTTTAATTATCAAAAAATAGTCTCAAATTACTTCAATTTTATGTGTAATGACGAGTTAGGTAAAACGAAGTTACAAACTTAAATAACTATTCAATGAAGGTTGATAGAATTTTTTGATGGACGATTTAAAAATAAATTGTTGACCTAATTCAAAAAAAAACACACATAGAAATATATAAATATTTAAAAAAATATATGTCTTAAATTTTTTTTAGGATTTAAGTTATTTCGTATGTAATTCATCATGTCCACACGATGAATTTTATAAAATATATTAAAAATAAAACTCGTCATGTGGATTGAATAGAATTATATATATGAAACTCCTCGTGTCTACATAACGAGTTTTAATTATTTATTATACAAATCATTTATTAAGTCTTCTGACTATTAAAAGTTACAAATGATCTCTGAATTATAGGATATTTTTTTAGTCTCCCGACTATTAAAAGTTACAAACTGGTCACTCGACTATTCATATGTTCCAATCTCATCCTTTTTTCATTAAAAGATTGACTGTCGTCTAAACTGGATATTAACATATTGTTTGAGATATGATAAAATCATATTTTAATGATATCTATTTGCACAGTCGTTGATTTCAAGCACTGTCTTGGCGACATAATATTTCAAGCACATGCTCAATGACATAATATAAACAAAAAATTGATCCACAAAATACAACTCAAATGGTTCTAGGATCATATTTTATCATATCCAGTCAACATGTTAACGATTATCACAAACGACCTCCAATTTTTTTAACATAAAAAGATGAGTTTCATACATATGAATAGTCGGGTGACCATTTTGTAACTTTTAATAGTTGAGGTACTCAACAGAACAATGTCTATAGTAGGTGATAAAATTTTATCATATCCAGGCAATATGTTAACGATCAGCTCAAAAGACTGTCATTTTTTTAACAAAAAAGACGAGTTTAGAACATATGAATAGTCAGGTGACCATTTTGTAACTTTTAATAGTCAATGGACTTAACAAAGCAATATCTATACTCGAAAGATCATTTGTAACTTTTAATAATCGGAAGACTCAATAAAACATTACCCTATAGACAGGGTACCATTTGTGTATTTTACCGTACTTTTTAATCTAGTTTATAAATTCAACACTAAACATTAAAGCAGCGTGCATGGAACCTATCGCCCATCCATTCTGAGAGGACCTTACAATCTCCATGATTTTCGCAAGCAACCTTCCTGCAAGACCCAACCAGCTGCTCCTGCCCTCGGTTCTTCCGGCGCACGCCGCCTCCCCTCCAAATGCTACTTTTCTCAATCTTCTCCCACCAGCTTCACCCTTCCCAATTTCTCCGCTGTTGATGCCGCCGCGTGTCCCTTCGCTCTCCACCGCTAGGAGCTTCTCTGCCCGAGCTTTTTTCGATCTCAAAGGCGGAAAAGGGTACTTTACGTGCAGTCTTATTAATTTGTTTTTGTTTAATTTTCTTAACTAGAACAAAATCGAGAAGATTTAAAGTAATCCAAGTTAAAATTAGCACATCTGTATCGCTTCTAATGAAAACTTCTTTTTCTTTCTTTTTTTAAGATTTGAAAAAGAGTCAATTTTTTGTCAATTTGAGTTCATTTTTACAATCGGGGAAGTGAATAAAATCAATGGATTTTGCGAATTGCAGAATGACTTCGTTCCATGAGCTTGAGCTCAAAGTCCGTGATTACGAACTGGATCAGTATGGAGTGGTTAACAATGCTGTTTATGCAAGTTATTGCCAACATGGTGACTCAAAAATTGCTTCGTTCTTATATTTCTTTTCAGTTTGTTTATCATTGCTTAATTTAATCTTGCAATTTATCAGCGGTGCTTCGAGCCGTCAACCATTGATGTGACTTTTCCTTCTTTTTTGGCTAGAATTTGAGTATAAACCATTGAATTGTAGTAATTTCTGGTCTCTGTTGTTCTACCACGGATTATTACTTCGTTGAATGCATTAAATGTTAGCCTTTTGGTCACATTGTTTCAAATTGCTGCATAGCTCAGAGGGCTGACTATGAGATTCTGAATTAATTGATTTAGTTTCTGAAGTACAAAGTATGTTCTTTTTAATTCAAATCCCATTTATTTTTGTTCCGAAAACCTTTTAAAATGCTAGGATTTCAAAAGGTAGAGGTCCATGAATTCAGGCTAGGATCACCATGGGAGAGTTCTTATTTCGAACGGTTTGTTCTCTTTCATTTCCAAAACTATAATGGAGATGACTTCATGCTGCTGGAATTATGCTGTTGCTAGTCATAGATGAAGTGAATGATAGAGGTTCTGACTTTGGTGCTTTTCCTTGCAGTTTACCCTGGCAGTTGGTTCAGCTCTTGCATGTTCATTATGTTCTGATCGCTGTATGTTCACATTCTGTTGATTTATACCAATAATCTTGCTTGAATAACTAGGTCGTTATGAACTGCTCGATAGTATTGGTGTCAGCTGTGATGGAGTTGCTCGCACTGGTGATTCATTAGCACTGTCAGAGTTGTCGCTCAAATTCCTTGGACCTTTAAGGGTATGCCACTTTCTTTATGTAGTTACTAAATCACTTTACCTATTTATTTAAGAACTTGTTTGAAAAGAGATGAAACATGTTGCTATCATTTGAAATTTCTTTGTTGTTTCTTATATTTTTTAAGTTTAAAAGTGAAAGGCAGAGCTTGAGAATGCTTTTATGTCTAAAGCAGCAGATATGTTTGCTGGGGGTTTTAATTTCTCTTCTAACAACTACAGAAATTAAATATTTCAACCAACTTCTCTGCAATCTACATAAGACTCTTCTGTACACTTTAACTAAATGCAGTGCTAGGATATGTGAGAACTGCATTTTTTACAGTGCTAAATGAATTTTATCGAAAAGTTGGGTTTGAATTTTGGAATCAAGTATATCATATATGCAGATTATGTTCGCATGACTCAAGAATTGAACTCGGAAAATTTATTAGAAATGTTTGTTATTGCCTATTCAGCATGCCTGCTGAAGTTTTTGATAGGATGATTAGCTTTTCTCCTGGGCTGAGCCCTTCCGTAATCTTACTCATGTCTATTTCTCCTGTACTTTCTGGAAACCAGAGCGGAGACAAATTTGTTGTTAAGGTGAGGATTTCCGACTCCTCGGTGCTCGCCTGTACTTTGAGCATTTCATCTTTAAGCAGCCAAATGAAGAGGTTTGTTATCATCAAACCTGAAACACTTTTATTTCAAGTCAAGGACTTGGTGTTTTCCTTAGTAATCTGATGCTTAAATATGCAGCCTATTCTGGAGGCAAAGGCCACAGCAGTATGGTTTGACAAAAACTATTGTCCTGCTCGTATACCTCCAGAGTTCAGATCAAAAATTTTTCAATTCCTTCGCCATGAGGAATCTGATTGAATTGTTGCTGAACTTGAGAGACCCTTTCGTTTGGTCAGCGAATGAAGAATATGATTCTGGATCGGTATTTCTTAAACAACTTTTATTGTTTTGATACCCTTAGGAAGGGATTCATATCTCTGAAAATTAGTCACTACATACCTCTTTAATTCAGTGTGTTATGCCTAATGCATAGACCACTCCTTTGTAGATGATAAAGGACAAATCCCAAGTGGATTCTAGAGAAGGCAAGGCAAAATGTATGCTTCTGAACATGATTGTATTTCTTGAGCCAACACATGAGCTTAATGTATTTCTTATGCCTGAATTGTTTTTCATGACATGTGAATCTAGCATCATACAACATCTTTCTAGATCTATATGCCAACAAAATTGGACGTTGAGCTTAGTAGCATACAATACTAATCAATGATTTCTTGTCCAGATTCCGGTTTTAACAGAGAACATACACATGGGAAATAGAAAATATGTTTGAAAACTGGACGAATTCTAATAAGTCATGGATCTTTAGGAGATGTTTATGAATAGTTAGAGTTAATGGTTTGGCTAAAATAGACAACAACATATAATTTAGAATTGAATGATTGGATACTTCATTTTTAATTCATTTTTAATAATAGTGTTTATGGTTCCATCTCTCTCTCTCTCTCTCTCCATTGCAATATGGACTTTTACTTAAATAATGGATGCCAATTTTTTCTGCATAGAACAGAACATTGGATGAATAATTCGTATAATATTTATTATTAAATTAAATAAATGAGTACAAATAAATATTTATTTAATAAATAAACGAAAATGAATACAAACATAGATTTAGACCACGACAGTTAATCAACCAGTAGTGTAGACCACAGCTCTGTTACTCTTCCTGCTCTTTGCCTTTTTCAAGCCTTATCAAACAACCTGTCCGCTCTTGACGAGGTGCAACTTCTATTTTCTGCCTGAGATGGAGTAGAGAAATTGGTTGATTTGCTTCTTCAATGCATCTGCAACCTGACCTACGGTACATAATTGACTTCGACTACCCCTTCAATTACTTTCTCAAGAATAAATCATACATACGATTCTTCATGTTTCATTTTTGAAAACTTATAAAATTTTTAGAGAAAAAAATAAATTATCAATAAAAAGAAAAAATATTAAAATTATATAAAAATTAAAAATTTCAAAGTACGATAGCTCCCATCAATCCTCTCTATTTATCCCTAATTATCACACTAAATCACATGTGTTATGCGACAGAGTGAGGCTCATTTAAAAAAAAAATAACCAATAATACCTACTCCTTGCACATAACTAAAAGTTCGGTGTGGTCGAAATTCAGAAGGGAAGAAAAGGAGTGGTTGTAGAAGTCAAGGCTCAAATGGTTTCGTGAACCCGACAGGAATACTAGATATTTCCACCTCTCAACTAGGGTGTAAACGAGCCGAGTTGAGTTCGACTCGACTCGAAAACTCACGAATTTAAAATTTTTAAATTCGATTTGAACTCAAAATCCTGAACAGAAATGTGAGTAGCTCGAAATAAAAAAAAATCTTGAACTTAACAATATTAAATCCTCAAACTCAAACTCGAACCTAAAACTTAAATACATGAAAGTTTTATTATATTTTTTTTAAAAAAATCAACACATAAATGTTAATATTATTAATATTTTAATTTTAAAAAAATAAAATCTTAATATATTATATTTTCAAGTTGCTCACGAGTTTTTCGAGTTGAGTATCAAGTAACTCGTTTCGACTCGTTAAGAATTCGAATCGAGTCCATTCATCTGAGTATTTATATAACCTTAACCGAATCGATCTCCAATAACTCGTGATATATCTCGTCTTATTTACAATTTTACTCTTAGCAATTATTAGAGGAAGTTTTAACCATATTCATTCAATTGGGTACCAACGAAGGTTGACCTGAATGGAAGGGACTCTAGTCGTTTAAGCAAGTAGTTTCTAATTCGAGCCTATGTGGATGCAGAGATATTTCTACTTTTACTGTCCGAGGATTAGTCCTAGGTAAGCCTGGGATATTTCGGGATATCAAAAAAAAAAAAAAAAATCAATCAGGGTGGGTGAGGATAGGATTATGGACCAAGTAAATATCTCTCGTGAGAATCACTTCAGATCTCATTTCAATGAGGTGAAAACTTTGCCAGTGAAAAGCTTGGGTGTCCAATTCAAAAGGCTGAGGCCGGAGTCCAAATTGGCTATTGAATCGACTTTCTCGGAAGAGGAAGACTGGTGGGCTTCATCAACGAAGTAGTGGGAGAGAATCAATTTGCGTTCTCTGCTGGGAAATAAATAATGGACTGCTCACTAATTGCAAATGAGGTCATTGATGATGTGCATCGTAGTAAAAGAAAAGCGGTTGTGTTCAAAGCAGACTTTAAGAAAGCATATGACACGGTGGATTGGGGTTTCCTGAACTTCGTGCAAAAAAAAAAGGGATTTGGTAAGAAATGGAGGAGTTGGATCCGCATGTGTATCTCTACAGCATCCATTTCAGTGCTAGTGAATGGGTCTCCATCCGGGTGGTTTAACATCAAGCGCAGCCTTGGACAATGTTTCCCTCTATCTCCGTTTCTTTTCAACATTATTGGTGAAGCTCTCAATGGGCTGTTAAGCAAAGCTGTGTAGGTAGGTTTGCTCAAAGGAATTTCGGTGGGTTCCGGTAATTTGAGCATCTCTCATATTCAATTCGCTGACGATCTGATCGTATTCTCAGAAACAGACGTTATTTCGGTTATTAATTTGAAAAGAATCTTGAGGATCTTTTAAATTTTCTCTGGTTTAAAACTCAACGTTAAAAAGTCTAAATTGTTTGGAATCAACGTGGATGAAGGTCAAGTCGCAGATTGGGCAGGTCGATTAAAGTGTGATTGGGACCGTTCCCCACAAAGTACCTTGGTCTCCCTTTGGGTCAATCAAAGAATTCGTCTGATCTTTGGAATCCTACCATAGAGAAGTTCTCTTCAAGGTTAGACGGTTGGAAAAGCAAGTATCTATCATTTGGTGGTCGCATAACGTTGGTTAAAGGCTGTTTTGGCAAATCTACCGGTGTATTTTATGTCCTTATTTCAGATGCCGGTTATGGTGGCCACTAAGTTAAACAAACTGATTGCAAATTTCTTATGGGGGTCTTTCTCCCGCAAAGGAATTCATTGGGTGAAATGGGAGAAAGTTTCTTGCCCAAGGGAGTTCGGAGGTTTGGGTTTCTTTGATATGAGATTGAGAAATCGGTCCCTTTTAAACAAATGAGTTTGGAGGTATGGAAATGAAGCGGACAGTTTGTGGGGAAAAGTTATTGATGCGAAGTATGCCTATGATATGCTTTCGTTGGTTCCCCGGCCTTTCGTGCCAAAGAAAGCTTCCTGGATTTGGAGGAATATAGTTGTCCAGCCTTATAATTCTGCAGACCCTTTCTATAGTAATATCAAATGTGCTATTGGGAATGACAGTCTTATAGATTTCTGGGAGGACTTTCGGACGGAAGTTCCTTCCCTTAAGGCGGCTTTTCCTTGGATATTTAGTGTTGCAGTCAAGAAGTCCGGAAAAGTTAGTGACTTTGGAGCAGTTTCTAACGGTGGCTGGGAGTGGAACATTGTCGTCAGGAGGCCCCTTTTTGTGTGGGAACATACGATCTGGGATGAGTTCATGAGCAAATTAAACAGAGCAGTTGCTGGGTGCTTCGAAAGTGATTGATTGCTGTGGACTGGCCCTGAAAATGGGGAGTATTCTCCAAACAGTTTTTGCAGGCTGGTCTCTTCCAGTGAGGGTGTAATGGACCCGTTTTGGAACTTGGTATGGGCCAACCTAGCTCCCCCAAAGGTCGAGTCCTTTGTTTGGAAGTTAGTCCAAAATAGGGTCCCTTCCTTGGTGGAGCTTGCAAAACAAAGCGTTTCAATCGAAGAGTCTGCTGTTTGCGGCCTATGTAAGCAGATGCCTGAATCAGTCATCCATCTTTTTAGCCACTTTCAGGTTGCATGGGGAGTGTGGCAAAGGTGGTGCTCTGCGTGGAACTTTCAATTAGCCGTTCCCGGTAATTTGAAAGATTTGCTTATGGTGGGGAGTAGCCATCGTCTTCATAGAGCAGCCAAACCAATCTGGTTAATGGATTTTTTTGGTATTGCTTGGACCATATGGTTGTGTCGGAATGAATCGATATTCAAGAACAAATCTTGAAGTGTTGATCAGATTTATGATACTACTTTATTAAGGACTGGTTGCTGGTGTAAGAGTAAGAGTAAATGGCCAGCTTCCACAATCCATGTTGAGGATTTTTTTAGGAACCCCAATGCTTGTGCGATCAGGTCTTAGCGTGCTGGTGCTCCGGCCCTGGAGGGCCTGTCCAGTTTTGTTTCTCAAGCTGTCTCCCGTTGGCCTCTATTGCTCTGCCTATGTGTCTGTGCTGTTGTGGTGTGTATGCCACGGCATTTCGGGTCCGCTGGCCTGGGGCTCTGGGTGCATATCAGTTGTGTTCTCATGCTTGTCTTCCTTTGTCTATTAAGAATCATTATTGTTGTTGCATATCCTAACTAGTGCTTTGTGTCATGTTTCGCTTTCTGTGAGGTTCCTGACCTGGTTTTCTTTGTCTGCTGAATTTAGTGCAGGATTGTTTGTTTTTCCATGGCTGCAGTGGCTTCATGTGAAAATGTGCTGATTCGTTGATTTGGATTGGAACATTTCAGTGCCACTATATCTCTTGTGGTTGCTCTTTTGCTTTGCTTGAGCCAAGGATCTTTTGTGGCTATTAAGCTTGATTATGCTGCCCAGGTTGGAGGCTTATATGAAGCATTATTGGTGAACTAGTTCTGGTGTTTCAGTGTGTTTTGGCAAGTGTTATACGAGTTGGATCCATGGTGTGAAACGAGCTATGGCTTGGCTGCAGACTTTGCCTTTTTGGCTTGTCTTAGCGTTTCGCAACGGTTGGAATCCTTTTTGGTTTGTTGTTTCTGTTGTAACGGTGATTGTTATGCTCTGTTTTGCAATCTAGTGAGTTGAGATACTTTATTTGTTACATTGGTTAGATGCACTCTTTATCCTCCATTTAGGTTTAGGAA